TTGGGGTTAGAAACCCTAGCGCAAGTTCGGTCTTTAAACTATATTGCAGGTTTGGGTTAGAAACCCTAGCAGAAATTAAAGTTAAAAACTCTAGCGAAAAATCGGGCTTTAAAGTCTATCGCAAGTTGGGGTTAGAAACCCTTACGGAAAATGGGTTAGAAACCCTAGCGAAAAATCGGTCTTTAAACTCTATCGCAGGTTGGGGTTAGAAACCCTAGCAGAAATTGGGGTTAGAAACCCTAGCGAAAAATCGGGCTTTAAAGTCTATCCCAAGTTGGGTTTAGAATCTCTACCGTAATATGGGGTTAGAAACCGTAGCCCAAAATCGGGCTTTAAAACCTATCGCAGGTTGTGGTTAGAAACCATAGCAGCAATTGGGGTTAGAAACATTAGCGAAAAATCGGGCTTTAAAGTCTATCGTAGCTTGGAGTTAGACACCCTAGCAGAAATTGGGGTTAGAAACCATAGCAGAAATTGGAGTTAGAAACCCTAGCAGAAATTGGGATTAGAAACCCTAGCGAAAATTCGGTCTTTAAAGTCTATCGCAAGTTGGGATTAGAAACCCTAGCGCAAGTTCGGTCTTTAAACTATATTGCAGGTTGGGTTTAGAAACCCTTGCAGAAATTGGGAATAGAAACCCTAGCAGAATCTGAGGTTAGAAACCATAGCAGAAATTGGGATTAGAAACCCTAGCGAAAAATCCGCCTTTAAACTCTATAGCAGGTTGGGGATAGAAACCCTAGCAGAAATTGGGGTTAGAAACACTAGCGAAAAATCGGGCTTTAAAGTCTATCGCAAGTTGGGGTTAGAAACCCTAGCGAAAAATCGGGCTTTAAAATCTATCGCAGGTTGGGGTTAGAAACCCTTGCAGAAATTAGGGTTAGAAACCCTAGCAGAAATTGAGGTTAGAAACCAGAGGAGCAATTAGGATTAGAACTCGTAGCGAAAAATCCGCCTTTAAACTCTATTGCAAGTTGGGGTTAGAAACCCTAGCGGAAAATGGGTTGAGAAACACTGGCGAAAAATCGGGCTTTAAAATTTATCGCAGCTTGTGGTTAGAGACACCACTAGAAATTAGGGTTAGAAACACTAGCAGAAATTGGG